AGGCTCACAGTGTAATCACCCCCTGTATGCATATTAGTTGCGTATTAATGGTTCCAAGATGAGACAGAGCAAATCAGTCAAAAGGAATGTGGAGGAAACAGACTATAAGAAGAAAATATAAATACAATTGACCCATGAACAATGTGGGCATTAGGGGTCCTGTGCAGTTGAAAGCCTGCATGTAACTTCTGAACCCCAAAAGCTTAACTACGAATAGCCTACTGTTGACTGGAAGTCCTACTGATAACAACAGTTGATTAACATATTTTATATTTCATGTTAGCTGACTGTATTCTTACACTCAGCTAGAGAGAATAAAAAGTTTATTAAGAAAATCATAAGGAGGGCAGCCCCAGTGGCTCAGTGTTTTAGCGTCGCCTTCAGTCCAGGGTGTGATCTTGGAGACCTGGGATGGAGTCCCACGTCAGGCTCTCTGCATGTAGCCTGCTCCTCCCTCTGCCTGTGTCTGTGCCTCCCTCTCTCTCTCTCTCTCTCTCTCTCTCTCTCTCTGTCTCTCATGAATAAATAAATAAAATCTTTAAAAAATCATAAGGAAAAGAAAATACATTTATAGTACTGTATTGTACTTATAAAATCTGTGGATAAGTGGACCTAGTGCAGTTCAAGTCTTTTGTTGTTCAAGTGTCAACTGTATATAAATAAAATCTAATTAATATCCTCAGAGATAAGAGAAGATAATAGGTCTTAATTAAAGAACAAGACGCTCCTTTTAAAAAAAAGATGGTTGGGATAGCCCAGGTGGCTCAGCGGTTTAGCACCACCTTCCACCCAGGGCATGATCCTGGAGACCCGGGATCGAGTCCCACATCGGGCTCCCTGTGTGGAGTCTGGTCCTTCCTCTGCCTGTGTCTCTGCCTCTCTCTCTCTCTCTCTCTCTCTCCTCTCTCTCTCTCTCTCTCTGTTTCTAATAAATAAATAAAATCTTTAAAAAAAAAGATTCTCTTATAAAAAATAGATGGCAAGAGCAATCATAAGAAAGGAGAGCTCTTCAAAATTAAAAACTTGACAGTCTAAAATTTAAAAGTCAATAGAAAGTTTGGAAGATAAAGTTGAAGAAATTTCAAGGAAAGTAGAAAATGAAAAGTATGATTATTAGAGAAATGGTTATATCTAAATTCTGATTAATAAGAATTCCAGAAAGAGAAAAGTGTGGGAAAGAAATTATCAAAGAATCAATATAAGAAAACTGCTAGAATTGAAGGTAATGGATTTTAAGGCTCATCAGTGCCTAGAAGCAATCAATGGAAAAACACCCACTGAAGGGTAAAAAGATACAGGCTTTTGTTGATAACACAGTAGTCCCCCTCTTATCTGAGATTTTGCTCTTCACAGTTTCAGTTACCTGCAGTCAACTGTGGTCCAGAAGCAGATGATCTTCATTCTGGCATCTTGTCAGAAGGAATAGTAGTCTAAGACTACATCATAATGCCTTACATCTTTCACCTCCGTTCATCTCATCACGTGGACATTTTGTCTCACATCATCACAAGAAGGCCAAGTGTAGTACAACAAAGTTTTATGAGAGAGTGACCACATTCCTATAACTTTTATTATAGTACATTAGAATTGTTCTATTTTGTTATGGTTATTAATTTCTTGCTATGCCTAACTTATAAATAGAACTTTATCATCGGTATGTATGGCTATGAAAACCCGTAGTATATGCAGGGTGTGGTACTGTCCGTAGTTTCAGGCATCATTGAGGGTCTTGGAATGCATCCCCATGGAAAAGAGGGGACTACTATAATGTATCAATATTCTTTCATGAATTATGACGAATGTAAAATGTGAGGAATAGGAGAAACTGACTTGGAATATAGAGATCACCTTGTATTATCTTTACATTTTTTGGGAAGTCTAAAAAACGACTCTAAAATAGTTTTAGAATGAGAGTTTATTTAAAAAGTTTAAAAAATAAAAAGTTTACTTATATAAAAGTTTATTTAAAAAACTGTTCACAAAAATATGTCTTCATGCATCTGTCCATGGGAAGTTACTGGTGGATATGCTCCCTAATAAGGGACTAGAACAAGATCTAGAAATAAGAGCTTCAGCACAGGAGAGGGAGGCCAAGGGAATTCTAGAGCAACAACAGTGCAGTAGAGTAGCCATTCCAGGGAGGAACAGCTGGAAGGCTCTGGGAAAGTAATCTGGGGGAAAAACAGGAATGGAATACATTCATGGGATTGATTATGTGGGAAATTGTATTGAGAGGCTGTTAGGGAATGAGGAAGATTTAAAAAGAAAACTATGCAAATGGAAGAAAAAAGGCAGTTTAAACTATAGGAAAAGAAAAATGTTGACCAAGAAAGGAAATGTAGTTGTACAATATTATTTGGTTCAGTAGTGAATAATAGATTTATCTAGCCACAGTAATTGTTGTGTAATAAAGAATATGACTGGCCTTAATCCTCGTTTCTGGTGGGGAGCATCTAAATCCTTGGAATTTCCTGAGTGATAGGATTGTCTTTATTACTCAGGGTGGGCCCTGATCCTTTATGCCAATGAGAGGACTCATGGTTGAACCCTAGATAGCTTCAAGATGGGGGCTAGTCATGCCAGAAAGACCAGCCATATGACTAGAAGATTGGAGGTCTGAGCCATATGATACCAGTTCAACCTTCCAGCCTCTGGGAGTGAAGAGGGTTTGGAGGTTGAGTTCTGTGAGATGTCAATATGTAGTCAACTATGCCTTTGTAATGATGCCCAATAAAAACTCTGGACTTTATTTTTTTTGTTGTTTATTATTATTTTTTAATTTATGATAGTCATACAGAGGGAGAGAGAGAGGCAGAGACACAGGCAGAGGGAGAAGCAGGCTCCATGCACCGGGAGCCCGACGTGGGACTCGATCCCGGGTCTCCAAGATCACGCTCTGGGCCAAAGGCAGGCGCCAAACCGCTGCGCCACCCAGGGATCCCAAAACTCTGGACTTTAGAGCTTGATGCAGCTTCTTAGTTGGTGAACACACTGATGTGTTGTGAGAGTGAAGTGCTCTGATTCAGAGAGGGCACAGAAGCTCTGCATTCAGAACCCTCCTAGACCTTGCCCCATTGTGGGTATTCATTTGGTTGATCCTGATTTGTATCCTTTATTAAAAAAAAACTGTAACCACAAATAGTTACATTGTCCTGAGTCCTGTGAATTATTTAGTGAATTTTGCTGAAGCTGATGAGGAGTAGTGAGAACCCTGAATTTTGCAGTCAGGGTGGATGCCTGTGGGGACCTCTGAACTTGCAGCTGATGCTCGAAGTGTGGACAGTTTTGCTGGGGCCCATGTCCTATGGTTAGTGTCAGAATTAAGTTGCATTATTATACTGATATACACACTGATTATTGACAGAGCCTTGTGCTATAATTTCATTGGAAGGAGATGGAAGATAAAGGGGAGTGGGTGTTCTCAACCAACTATAATAAGTAATATAAAAATTGATGAATCAGGAGATAACAGTGTGAGCACAGGATTTAGAACAAGGATTCAAACAGAAGAGAGTGGTGCCTGCATGGCTCTGTCCACTGAGCGTCTAGCTCTTGGTTTTGCTCAGGTCATGATCTCAGGATCAAGAGATCAAGCCCTCTGTTGGGCTCTGAGCTGAGCATGGAGCCTGCTTAAGATTCTCTCTCCCTCTGCCCCTCCTCCCCAGTGCAAGTGCACTCCCCCCACCCCAAACCCCTAAAGAACCCAAAGATCACTGTTTTGAAACCTCTAATGAAATTCTGTATCCCAGTGGTAATCAATGGCTGCTGATAAAACAACAAAGAAAGATAACCAGACACGTGTCTCCAGCTGTATAAATCTGCAGTATCACTTATGAATATTCTTACCAAAAAAACCAAACTTGAATTTGATCAAGAATTGATAGGTAACCACTAAAGGACAGAAGAACATGTTACAAGATATTAGGGAAATGTAATCAGCAAATGCCAGGCTGGAAAAGTAACAGGACCCAGTATCTTCAACAAATAGTAGGGAAATTGGGGGTGGGGCTGGAGAGGGAGGGGAGGAGAAAGAGTTGGAGATTGAGAAAGGTAGATGGATAGATAGAACCTATAGATTAAAAGAGATTTAATAGACATTAACCAATTTTAGGTATGGAGGTTATTTAATCCTGATTTGATCAAATTATTAGGAGTTTTCTGAAATACTTGGGGAAATTTACATACTGATTAGATAATTGATGTTTGATTTGATAGAAAATTTCATTAGGATTTATTATTTACAGTTTAAGAATGTGATGATGGTATTGTGGTTATTTTAAATAGCATATACTGAAATTCTTATGAAGTCATGATGTTAGTAATTTACTTAAATGATTTGAGGTGGGAAGAAGCAGTGGGGGGTATATAGTTGAAGCAAGAGTAGTTAAAATCATGTTGCTAGTCTTGGAAGCTGGGTCATGGATACATGGAGTTTTGTCACACTGTTTATTTTTTTTTGCTCAGCTAAAGTCTGGGAGATTTGTCCATGTTTTGAATATATCAGTAGTTCTTTTTTATTGCTATTTAGTATTGCATTATATGAATATACCTCTGTTTACTTCTTTTATAGATCAATATTTGGGCATGTTTATCATGCATAAATAAAGCTACCATGGATATTCTTTTGGTAGACATGATGCATTCATACTTCTTTGGAATTGCTAGGTCATGAGCTAGGCATATATTTAGTTCTGGACATAAAGCCAGACAGGTTTTTTTTTTTTTTTTTCTTTTTCCAAAATGATTCTATCAATTTAAGAGCCACCAGCAATGTATGAAATTTCAGTTGCTCTACAACTTTGTCAACACTTGGTATTGCAGTCTTTTAAATTTTAGCCACTGTGGTGGGTGTTCCATCTTAAATTGGAACCAGTAGTATTGCTTCATCTTTTACATCAAAGTATTATACAGGTCCTCTGATGTGTAACTGGTGGGTCCTAACTATAATTTGTTCTTCATTATAGTTCTTAATCTAAACTATTTTTTTTTTCTTTTCTCAGTTGTCACAGGTAGTACTGATGGAATTGGCAAGTCATATGCAGAAGAGGTAGGTAATTTTCAAGACCTTTCTTTTTGGTGTAACAATAAAAGAACAAATGTGGGATGATTTCTTATAGTAGCTTTGATTTTTGAAGTTCAATATAATGTTATATAGTACAATAGATATGTTTTATGTCTAGTCAGAAACACCAAAAAAAAAAAAAAAGAAACATGTTTGCTTACACAAAGACAATTTTAAAATAAGTTTTTGTGCAAAAGGAGTATAAAACTTTATATCCCAGTAAGTTGAAGTTGAGGAAAATATAGTGTAGTTTTATTTTATAATGTGTAATTATGGATAGTCATTAGTTTTAATGTCAGTTGTTTGGAACTATTTTCTGAAAGATGGCTGTATTATTATGGGATAGTTATATTTCCAGGCTAGTCCATGGCTTCGTTTTTTGATATGGAGGACTATAATTGACTAAAAGAAAATTAACAGACATAGGCAAAGGGTTCAAGTTCTCTGTAATGTCATGAAATGAGAGGGACCATGATAGCTTGAGGACCACTGTACAAAGCAGGAGCGATGGTAGTACTTTTTTTTTTTTTTTTAAAGATTTTATTTGTTTATTCATCAGAGACACAGAAAGAGAGGCAGCGACACAGGCAGAGGGAGAAGCTGGCTCCATGCAAGGAGCCCGATGCAAGACTCGATCCCTAGAATCCGGGATCAGGCCCTGAGCCAAAGGCAGACGCTCAACCGCTGAGCCACCTGGGTGTCCTGATGGTAGTACTCTTAAGGCAAGCTTCCCTGCCTTCTAGTTCTGCTAAGGCACCACAGCTTATGATACTGCCCAGTTGTGATGACAATCCTAGCAGATCCACTGAATTTCTCATTTGTCATTCTCAATGGGGGATCTTTTTAAAATCTTTCTTTGATGCCAGTCTTTCAGTCTTTATGTATCCAGTCCAAAACAGAATTTTTTTTAAAGCTGACTTTTAAATTATAGAGGTAATAGATACTTATGATTTTATTTATTTATGTATTTTTAAAGACGATTTGTTTTAGAGAGAGAGAGTATGAACACGAGCAGGAAGGGCAAAGGGAGAAGAAGAGAGACTTTCAAACAGATTCTGCACCTGGGGCTCAATCTCTTGACCCTGAGATCACAACCTGAGCCGAAACCAAGAGTCAGATACTTAACCAACTATGCCACCTAGTATTTATGATTTTAAAAACTAAAGTGTAGATGGGTACCAAATGAAAAGTAAAAGTTTTACTCCTTCTGAGGCCCTTTGACATTTATATACTAGCTTGATTTAGAAATATAACCCTTTGGGGGGATCCTTTAGTAAGGTCTTCGTTTTGGATTGCCCATTCATTACCGCTTAGGTTTATTGCTTTTTTAGTTGGGCTTAGCATATTACCCGGTTTTCTTAAAACGAGAAAATATCTGATTTTTGTTTTTTAATGAATTTTACAGGTGTAATTCAACTTTTTGGTGGTTTTCTATTGTTTCAGTTAGCGAAACATGGAATGAAGGTTGTCCTTATCAGCAGATCACAGGATAAACTGAATCAAGTTTCCAGTGAAATAAGTAAGTTTTTCACACACCCTCTTATCCTTTTATGTTTACAAAAGGAAAACAGCTAATCTAAGTTGAATGTTTTCAAGTAGGTATTTAGCACTGACATTTATTTAGAGTTCAGAAAACTTTCTAATGTTGTTAAAGGGATGTCTTAAAATGGATCATCGTTTTTTTTCAAATTAATAATAGGACTGTTAAAATTTCCTTAAAATGTTTTTTACTGACTTGTTTAGTTGTTGTTAGGAGTCAGATTATCTGATTATTTTATCATATTCTACTTAAACACCTGAATTCCTTTTCTGTTGCTTTATTTCAGTAATCTTGCATTTTTAACTCTTTGACATCATTTTTTAAAAAACAATTTTCTTACTATTTTTTAATTTAAATTCAATTATCCAACAGATAGTACATTACTAGTTTCAGTGACATCATTGCCTCTAAAGGTATATGTAATTGAAGAAAAATACAAAAGACTATACACACACAAGAGGGAATCTTTTGAGCTTTCTTCTTAGTCACCTATGCTCGAGACCTGAATTACCATATAACAGAGATTCTTAACTGACGTCTAACTAACCGACCAGATGGATAAAGCAGTGCTGTCCATTTCCTTGGTAGAACATACTGACTGCTGTTTCCAGTGTGCTGTTTACGGCTGGTAGGCTTCTCAGTTGATACTTTTATGCTTTTACCCCCACAAATCAAATTATTTGCTATGAGTCAGCTATGTTTGTTCCCAAACTTATGCTGAGTGCATTTATTATTTAATATTCTGCACACTGATACAGTATTTGTGGAGAAAGGGGGAGTTATTTCTACAAAAACTCATTTGAATGCTCTGAAAAAAGTGAGTAAAACGAGTTCTTTTCAGAAATCGGCTGTCAAATAGTGATAAACAAGTCAAATGTAAAATAATTGGAAAAAAATGATAAAAAAGAAATTTGTTCTCTAATTGTTCCATATGTGTTGAAATTTTTGCTGCCCTTTAAAAGAACTGAAACTGCAATCATAAATGATGTGTTATGGGCGTGGGTTAGGCAGGAAAGTCTGGAATACCAGTCAGCAGATCTAAAGTCAAGTGTAAGACCTGGGGTCCTACACAGGATTGGTGAATGAAATACATTTGTGCAAGAGTTAAATTAAATAAAATGGTTACGGTGAATATATATTGTTTTCTGGATTCCCACTTTAACTTCTATGAGTGGGCAACTAACAAACTCTTCCAATTCTTTCAGATGAGAGAGGATTTCTGCTGGGTTTTTTTTTTCCAGCTTTTTTAAAGATATAATTGATGTATAACATTGTGTAAGTTTAAGGTGTACCACATACTGTATTATATTACTAACATTACTACCTACTATTAGCATTTATATGGTACTTTATTACTTCTTTATTCCCTCATATGTATTATCTTCTTTTATCTTTTAAACATCATTGTGATGTATATATTTTTATTATTGTTTCTTTCCAGACCATAGCTGGTCCTTCTGGACAGATTACATACAAATGCACTTCATCTTTATGTAAAAAACAGATCTTTATAATACTAAGTATGCTAAATCTTTTAAAAAAAGTTTTTGTTGTTTTTTTTTTTAATCCTGTTAGTGGGCACAGATCTTTACATCTTTGACATTTAAGGGGTTTAACTTTCAAGGTATGAACTATGTGAACACAACACTTGAAGCTCCAAGGCATACAGTATTTTGAAGTTGTGCTAAGGTATAAATTTGAATTAAGCCATGAGATTAATGAGTCTGAGGCAGTTAACTTAGATGTTAGTTGAACTTAACTTGTTACCTGGACCTTAATTCTGTTTTTTCTTAGTTACTTATGCTCAATATATAATTAACTCCTAAAATCATAAAAATATTATATTTGTGCATGTGAGTGGGTAAAATTGGCTGTTAATGGAAGCATTTACTAGTTACTGGAAGTAACAGTTCATAGGTGAAATATAGAACCTTTGATTAAATGGAATGTTGAATTTTGAAATGCTATGATCTGAACAAATCCAGCATCTAGTTGTTCCCAAAAGAAGTGGAAGCTCCTACCAGTCATTTAGAAAATGCTCCAGCCTGTACAAAAATTGTTCAACAAGTCAGAAGTATACTTTAATGATATTTGAGAATTTATTAATGTGTGATATGAGGTGACATGTAACTCTGGGCAGAGATGTGGTTCTGGATAAAGACAGGATCCTGTTCAAACATTTTCATGAAGGGACAGATGGTCACGCACTGAATTGACCTTTATTATGTTTTCCTGGACATCATGTAAATTTAATGACAAAAGTGGTATCAGCAGACCAGATCCTCAGTTCTAAGCTGAAGAAATAGAAAGAGGAGATTATATATGCCTGTACAGGTTTTCAACTCAGATGTAAATCATCTCTTTGGTAGGATAATGTTTCCATGAACATATCTATTTCAGGAGAAGGAGGGACCCGAATTGAATGTTGACAGAGTTAGTTTGTCTAACACATCTTTATTGCATGCCCGTGTACAAGGTCCTCTGCTAGGCGGTCAGCAGACAGTGGTGAACATGTTAGAGGCAGTCCTTGCTTTCATGGAACTTATAGTCGAGTGGAGGAGACAGAAAAAAATAGTTGTAAAAAGCAAAAAACAAAACAAAGCAATCAGACAAAGAAATAATTGCAGCTTGTAATAGTGCCAGGTAAGAAACAAAGGGAGGACATGGGGAGGTTTTCATTTTGTAGCAGTGTGGTAAATTTTATGATTGACAGGATGTTAAAGGGCTAGACTAATAGCCTCTTGCCCACATAATGGCACTCCAGTTATGATGCTGGAACCTTAGGTGAAGAGAGGATCCACTAGGTTCTCTTAGGGGGTGTGGTGGTGGAGGGGTTGTCTGTGCAAGTTGCACATGATAAATCCACTCTAGCATTCCTATTCTCTTAAGTCTTTGAATTGCTGCTTCTACATTATGCCAGGGAAGTTGTGGCTTCTCAAACTTATTAAATATAGGGCCATCATGGAGTCCAAGTTTCAGTCAGCCAGCCAAGTTAACTCTTAGAGCCTCATCCAGTTATATAAGCTAACCATTAAGTCCTAAATCTTGAGTAAGTGATTCATATTTTAAAAAATACCCCAGTCCAGTATTACATTATGTTTTCCTTGGTCTAACATTCTTAAACTCATTCTCACACAGATTTCCTAGGTATCCACCAATACAAATTAGCAAACTTTTGCAATTATTTTTGTTTATAAGTTATTACGTTATGGATCAGACTTTTTACTTGTTCCCCCAAAGAATGCTGTGATCTTACTCTGTTATGAGTAGCAGTAAGAGATGGTCTAGTTGGGTCTTGAAGAGAAGAGGAATTCTCTTGCATGGAAACTGCACTTAGAGTTATCATGAGGTTATGCAGGTTCTTCAATCCTGGGAAAGCTAATCTCTTCAGACATAGGAGAGCGGGCTTCTTCTCTTTCCACTGGCAAGGGAGGCTCAGAATAGCTGGGGACTTCAAGATCCTTGGCTTCAGCTGAGTCCACCCAGATATCCCCATCCCAGGTCTCATTCAGTGTTTTCACTTTTATACATGAGACATGGTGAGTCTGCGGAGTTCAGCTTAAATTGTAATTCTGTACCTGGCACAGTTAAATCTGATGTTAGCAAGGTGAGCCCTGTGGCTGTAAGACATTAAGGTTTTTATTGGGGCTGCCATAGAAGTTCTCTGGTTCTCTGTTCATAAATGAGAGCTGAGTATTTAAGGACCCAAGCTTGTCATTTTCTTTCTGTAAGTGCTACAGTGCATTCAGAAAAAGCCATGCCATACCCTAATCTCTGTACTCATCATTTCTGCCCAACTCAAATGTGACAACCACCTGGTCCCTTGAAGCACTTCTTCACTAGATACTTTATTATAATCAGCAGCCAGCTTTAATTTAACTAATAGTGATAGGACTGCATTATGGATCAAATCAAACCAATACCAAAATTCTTTGAGGTCTGTTTTTGGGAATCCCACTCCTGATACCAATTTCTGTATCACTCAGACTTTAGTCAAAAAATATAGGTTAAGCAAGTTAGTTTATAACTAGGCTAACTTGTCTTTTCTAGTCCAGGTCTTACATTCACTCCAGAAGGTTAAACTCATCCCGCCTTCTTTTCCATGTGACTGAAAGAAGAAAAGAGGGAAAGAGGGGATTGAAAAAGAAACCGTGTGCCAATTGAGAAAAAATAGGGACTCTTCTGAGCTCCTGTCACCTTCTGACTCTCCACTGTTTTGTTTTGTTTTTTTAAAGATTCTATTTATTTATTCATGAGAGACACACACACACACACACACACACAGAGAGAGAGAGAGAGAGAGAGATAGGGAGAGATACAGGCAGAAGGAGAAGCAGGCTCCATGCAGGGAGCCTGATGTGGGATTCTATCCCGGGTCTCCAGGATCAGGCCCTGGGCTGAAGGCGGCGCTAAACCACTGAGCCACCTGGGCTGCCCTCTCCACTGTTGTTATATAAACCTGGGGACTCTGTTTCTTTAGAAGCAATTTCTTGTGAGTGGGGAGGACAGCATATTTTATCAAAGTTCTTCAGGAAAATTTTTAAAGCATTATATATAATTTAGTAGGGAACTAAATGTTTTGCCAACAATGGATAGTGCCTTCTCAGGATCGACTGCTTTGATGAATTTCACTTCTTTGTAAGGATAACTGTCACCCGTTGAATTAATACAAGCTAAGAGTCAACCCATATATAATAAGCTTATTTTATTATCTTTGTTAGCCAGGATTTTTCTTTTTTGTTAGCCAGGATTATTAATATATTCGGCATTTTGGTTGATTTTAATTTGTCAAAGAAAAAAACTTCTAGATAATTTTTGAACTCTGAGCTAAATTTTTACATTCAAAAAACACAGTTTAAAGAAGACTAGCTTTTAGAACAACCTATTGGCTCACAGAATATAGAGATGGTGATATTTATGTTCATATTCTTACATAGCAGTTGGTAATTCTGATTACATCCACTTTAATCAGCTTTGAT